GTGGATTTGAAACCTACCAGCTGCACAAATGGTCACCCATTTTATTGCAAAGGAAACTGGGGTCTCACACCTATGGCTGGGAATGGAATGTGTTATATCTTTGCGTGTGTGACCAAGAAAGAGATCCTTCTGGGAAGAAAGGGCTTGCAAAAGAATCATGGGCTTTGATTCAAACAGGCCTAGCAAGGGCAGAGACAAAAATATGTATACTATTTTGGTTCATTTTAAACCCAAACCTTCTATATTTCTAATATTTCTTACCACAATGCTCTTGTAGCTTTGTCACGGGCACCCCACCACTGTCTCTCTAGCCATCTAAGCCTTCGCTTCATCAGCCGCAGCTCCTGGGTGAACCAAGGAGCCAGCCTAGAGCGAGGGCGCAGAGGGCTTCAGGAAACGATCTCATTGATGGGTGCTGAGAGTCGGCTGTGCCAATCCTCCACTAGCTCATCCAATAAGCCACCGGGGGGCATCAGATCCGGCAGAGCCATCTGAAGCTGCATAGGGTCCATTTAGCTCTGTGGGCAAGAAAAAATGTGCTCACTGCCCAAACAGGGTCAGGGTGAAATGTTCACATGGGCCTTCAGGGCATGGTGGTTAAACCATGGCACTGCCGTAGCAGTGATCCAGTCCACTGTAACCCCCACCACGAAGATCAAATCAAGTATGTGTCCCGTTTGGTGAGTTGGAGCCATTACATACTGGGTGAGTTCTACTGCCGCCATGGATGACACCAGGTCCATCACCTGTGTGTAGGCCGCATTGTTGGCATGGACATTGAAGTCGCCCAGGACTACCAGTCTAGGGTGCTCCAATGCCCAGCCCGACACGGCCTCCACTAGGATGACAGGCTATAGGGATGACAGGCTACTGGCCTCCACTAGGGATGACAGGCTATTGGCGGATGGTACACTAACCAAATAGCCCAAATATAAATCCATTTGTGCACATTCTTCAGCATCAGAAATGTCAGGGACAGGACCGGGGGAAGCCGTTCTAAGTTATTTTCACATGTGAGGCTGAAGTCTGCTTTTGCATTACACAGGCCTGTAAATGGAATGTACCATCTAAGATTATCTAGGTTATGTCTATTCCCATTCTTAAAGGCATTCCTGTACTCTCTGACCTAGTTTGACTGAATTCACATATGAGCATAACCATACAGAGATCTTGAGTGCAAGCCTAAACAGAGTTATACCCTTCTAAGTCCATTGAAGACAATGGGTTTAGAAAGGTGTAATTCTGCTTAGGATTGCACTGTAAAAATGCTTTCTGTGCAAATGAAAGCATTACACACATCAGACATATAGTCAACTATCAAAATAAGCAGAATATGTTAAGCAAGAAATAATGCCGTATGCATAATGCATATTATTAATATGATTTGAAATAACGTTATATGGAACAGTTTTGTAAATCAGAAGCTAATATACAAACAAAAGTCTCTAGACAGTTTGCCAGCTTCTCTTGGGGAAAATAGAAAATAAATGTGTACAAGAGATTCCCCCCCCCCCTAATTCTTCTTTAGTATCATTATTTAGTTTAATTGTAGATGCATATAGATATAATGAAGGATTTGTATTTTTGTAATTTAGACAATTAATACGATTAAAAATGTTTTGTGTATCACATGTGAAACTCCCACCATCTCTAAACTTCACAAAGAGAGACCATAGCTCAGAGTCAAAGTGCATGCCTGGCAAGCAGAAGATCCCGGGTTCAATCCCTGTTATCTCCAGTTAAAAGGAATTTAGGAAGCTAAGCCAAGAAAGATTTCTGCCTAAGATCTTGGAGAGTGGCAGCCAGAGAAGGCAATACTTGCCTAGAAGAATCAACAATCTGACCATACAAGACAATTTCATAGGAGAGTTGGTGGGAAGTGGCACTGAAAATTCTACCAGCACAATGTATTGCACATGCCTCCCTTCATCTGATTATTTAGCTCGTTTCACACAAATGCCCTTAACCAACAACTTAAAAACTGATAAATCACCAGGCCCAGATGGCATACATCCAAGAGTTCTGAAAGAACTCAAATGTGAACTTGTGGATCTCCTGAGAAAAATATGTAATCTTTCATTAAAATCTGCCTCCATTCCTGAGGACTGGAAGGTAGCTAATGTCACTCCCATCTTTTAAAAGGGTTCCAGAGGAGATCCGGGAAATTACAGGCCAGTCAGTCCAACATCGATACCGGGTAAGTTGGTAGAAACTGTTATTAAGGAAAGAATTAGTAGGCACACTGATGTACAAAACCTATTGAGGAAAACTCAGCATGGGTTCTGTAAGGGAAGATCTTGTCTCACTAACCTGTTAGTGTTTTTTGAGGGAGTGAACAAACATGTGGACAAGGGGGACCCAATAAATGTTGTTTACCTTGACTTCCAGAAAGCTTTTGATAAAGCTTGAGAGTGAGTATAAATGGGAAATTTCCTCAGTGGAAGGTGGCAAGCGGTGAGGTACCACAGGGATCAGTACTACGTCCGATGCTTTTTAACATGTTCATTAATGATTGGAAGTTGGGAGTAAGCAGAGAAGTGGCTAAATTTGCGGATGACACGAAGTTGTTCAGGGTGGTGAGAACCAGGGAGGATTGTGAGGCACTCCAAAGGGATCTGTCAAGAATGGGCGAGTGGGTGCCAATGTGGCAAATGGGGTTCAATGTGGCCAAGTGCAAGGTGATGCACATGCTGGGGATTATTAGGAAGGGAACTGAAAACAAATCAGCTAGTATCATAATGCCCTTGTATAAATCGATGGTGCAACCTCATTTGGAATACTGTGTACAGTTCTGGTCACCACACCTCAAAAAGGATATTATAGCATTGGAAAAAGTGCAGAAAAGGGCAACTAGAATGATAAAAGGGTTGGAACATTTTCCCTATGAAGACAAGTTAAAATGCTTGGGACTCTTTACCTTTGGAGAAACAGCGGCTGAGGAGTGACATGATCAAGGTTTATAAGATTATGCATGGGATAGAGCAGGTGGAGAAAGAACTACTTTTCTCCCTTTATCACAATATAAGAACTCATGGGCACTCCATGAAATTGCTGAGCAGTCATGTTAGAACAGATAAAAGGAAGTACTTCTTCACCCAAAGAGTGATTAACACATGGAATTCACTGCCACAGGAGGTGGTAGCGGCTACAAGCATGGACAGCTTCAAGAGGGAATTAGGCAAGCATATGGAGCACTTATTAGCCACAAGGGATAGATAGGAACTCTCAGGCTGGGGCAAGAGATGCTCTGTATTCTTGGTGCTTGGGTGGGGGCAACAGTGGGAGGGCTTCTAGTGTCCTGGCCCCACTGCTGGACCTCCTGATGGCCTCTGGTATTTTTGGCCACTGTGTGACAGAGTGTTGGACTAGATGGGCCATTGGCCTGATCCAACATTGGCTTCTCTTATGTTCTTATGCATTCAGTAGACTGCAAACAGATTCCATATGCATACAAAATGCATGTACGTAGGCTTTGTACATGTAACAGGAGCCCTAGATGCTTGCAAATAGAACAGGGAAAACTGCGAAAAGCAGTTTGTGCTTACACGGACTGGGCCTGCCATCTGCCCCCACACTCTCAGCATATGTTGCCTGAATTTTCAGTTTATTTCTGTTTCTTCCCCTGAAATTTCAAAATGGATTCAAATGAAACACCATGAGCACAAATGGGCAGCACACTTGCGGAGAAGTAATGCTGGCATCTGAAATAGTAGTGACTGCTTCACACAACCAGTAAATGAGTAGCCTCTATCAAGGAAAACATTAGCCCTGTACAGACACTTCTTTGAACGCATGGGAAGCGAGAGAACCGGATCATGTTTGGTATCCCCACTCCCATCCTGCATTCAGTTGAATGATTGATAGTGCATGACTTCCAGGGCTCCTGATTATCTGAAGAGAACTCTAAACACACATAAATCCCATATGACATTAAATGAGATATGTAAAACTAGGGAGAAGAGACAGCAACATGTGATTCCCCACTTGACTTGCTTTTCCCACAACTACACAGCAGTGTTCACCCGCTAGCAGAAGACAGTAACAGAAGGGAACAGATGGATTTCCCCGGGCAGAGTGTTTCAGAGTTTCAGTGCCGCTACTGAGGAGGCCCTCTTGCCAGTTACCATCCACCTAATCCTAGAGGTTGGGGGCACCTGAAGCAGACCCTCTGAAGATGATTATAGAAGTCGGGTAGGTTCATAAAGTAGTAGGGTATCCTTCAGTTACATTGACCCCGACCATACAGGGCATTAAATGTCAACACTAGCACCTTGAATTGTGCCCTGAAACAAATTGGGAGCAAGTGTAGAGAGAAGAAGAGTGGAGTGATATGGTCCCTACAACCCTTCTGAAAAGTTACTACCTAGAAGAGCATCACAGAAAATTAGTATAGAGGTATAGCACATTAATAAATATTAAATATCTCCAGTTAGACTGTTAAAATGCATTCTGGGAAACAGGAACAGTGACTATCCAGCTATTATACGAGTTGCTCAGAGAGGTCAGTCTATATGAGGTTATTCCTCAAACCCACCTGGCGGGCACCATGCCTGCTCAGGGGCCTCAGCCCAGATTCCCTGTCCCAGTGCTACATGCTGCACCAGAGAGTGGACAGCAGTGAGGACGACAGCTGCATGTGAATGCAGGCAGGAGAGAGAACCCAACAGAGAGGACACTGATGCAGGCGGCTCAGGCTAAAAGCCCTGGGTCTGTAAATACAGCTCAGGATAGCTTGGATGGGACCCAAATAAGGCTGCAGTGTTTAGTCCCAGCTTTTCCTAGCGCAAATTAAAGGTATTTCTGAGCATAATCTCAAAGATTAGCATCTGGCACAAATGTTAATCACAAGGCGAAAGCTGATTTCTCCCTTTGGAAGATCCGGGCCAACACAATAATCTTTCTCTACTAAATAATCTTAGTTTGGGGGGAACTCCATTTTTCCACACACACCCCACCCTGCTCATTCCACTGCATCTGCATTTCAAAGCATAACGACTGACCTGAGGCCTTCCCCTTCTGGAGAATACTGCCTGCAGTACTCAAGCGTGAAAGAGTCTGTTGCTTCTGAGTTGCCAGTGCTCCAGCGAATGGTGGCAGTATCCCAACATACTGTGCAGTCTTCAGCCTTTATTACAGGGGTTGGGGGAGCTGTGGATACAGCGTGATGTTAGCGGCACTGCAAATAATGCCATGAAAGCTACCGCGGGTGCACTATAGAATAACTGAAAAGATCAGTTCCAGACTCCAGCAGGGTAGCCATAGCAGTCTGTTGCCACATCAATAGACCCATGGAAGCACAGCATCTGAGGGCCTAGAGCCTACTCTGGCTGCTTTCACACACATTGTATAATGCACTCTCAATGCACTATAGCAATCAGTTGCAACTGGATTTTCCAGTTCCAAACGATTGCTGTAATGCATTGGGAGTGCATTATCCGACAATGTGTGAGGTGCACTAAGTGACTCCTCAGTCAGCAGAAATACATATGGGGAGGGGGGTGAACCATGGGTTCATGAAATGCAAAAATTATAATATGTGACATTTCTATGCCACACTACAGAGCATACAAAATAAGCACAGCGATCATCCGAAACAGCTGTAATGGGAGACAACACAGTCTCCACAGTTGTATTAGGCAATTTAAGCATAATGGGTACGAAGAGAGTCATTTTTGTTTAAAGACCTAGTTTTAATATAATAATTACATTTAAATAACATTTATACTTATTGGTTAATTCTAATTCAGCAGCTGCCCAGTGGCTGGACACATGATGTTGCCTTACAGACCACAGGTCTATTAAGGGCATTATTGCCATTCTAACTGGCAGCGGCTCTTCAAAGCCCTAGGCTGAGATCTCTCACATCACCCACCACCATATTCTTTTGAGATGACAGGTATTGAACCCAGGACCTTCTGCATGCAAAGCAGATGCTCTACCACATGGCCCCTATAGACAGCTCCACCTAAAATAGGGTCAATCTGCCTATCTTGTATTCCTCTGGAGGTTTGCAAAGACCTTTAACAGACCATACATCTTGTATTTAAGGCAACAATTGCTCACAATTTCCCACCTGTGTGTGGGTGTATAGCTGCCAGCCAAGGATTCATTTCATGTATCTGATGAAGGACACCCTAGACTACTAAAGTTTATTCTACAGTGAACATACTGGTTGTTCAAATGCCACAAAAGTCTTGTTTTTGAAAATTGCAATTTTACTTGTATCATGACCACAGCAGACTAAGGTAAAATAATCTATTTTTAATGGTGGGCGGGAGTCCTTATGGAGAAAGGATTCCTTCAAAATAACATGCTTAGGAATGTATAACTTCTGCTATTTTATGATCACATTCAGATGTCACAATAAAACATGGCTTGTGCAAACTGGGGTTTGTGCAGCGAACTCCAGTTAGCTTCTCAGATACCAAAAACAAATCTTAGGCCCCTGCCACATGGGGGGGGGGGGGAACACGGGCAAAGTGCAGCTTTTGAAAGCCGCACCAAAAGAGACACGCGGCGGCAGGATCACATACATCCCCTGAGCCGCCGCCCAGTTCCTCCCCAGCACGATCAGATGCCGGGGGGGGGAGGCCACTGTAGGAAGAGCGCGGCAGCCAAACTGCGCATGTGTGAGCATGCGCAGTTCAGCTGGGAGCCTGGAGTGCTCCGGACAACGGGCACGCCGGCGATCCCACGGCCGCGCTTGATGTGGCGTTCTAGGTAAGTCCTCCTCTGTAGGAGGGGTTTTTTTGCAGCGGGTTTTCCGGCTTTAGGGACGGATCGGGGACGGGTGCGCGCCGCTTCTCAGATGTTGCAGTGAGATCGCGCCCATTTGCTGTACCCCCGATCCGTCCCTCTCCTGCGTGTATACTTCAGTTTATTTGACCTCCTGCCTTTCCTCCACCCACCCCAGGCACAGAGAACATTTTCCCTATGCATTCTCTGTGGCAAGGCAGCTACAAAGGACAGTGTTACTCAGCAAAATGTGCCTTGTGAATCTCAGTGTCACCACAAAGACACCAGCTGTGGTTAACAAATCAGCTAAAAGATTTAGTTTGAAATCCTAGGCTGCGGCTCTCCAACTAACCCTGCTTTGTGGGACTGTCTGCAGTCAAGATTCAAACCTAATCGGGGTTTTGATCAAAGCATGAATTTTAAACCAAAGTTTATTGTGGCACCTGAAGGCAATCTGAGCATCTGGGGCGGAAAACACTAGTCTCCCAAGCTACTGCAGCAAACAGGTTGCTAGGTGGTTTACAGCATAAAGCATGATGCTTGTAAAACCCTGTTTGAATGCTGTCTTGGAGCAGTTCAAAATGCTTCTGCAGAAATAAAAGGTCAATTGCAGTCTGCTGTTGTAGCGTGAGCTGAAAAGTGCTGTTGTTTCACGGCAGACGGCTGCACTTTCAAACTCTCCCTCCTGACAAGAGAATAGAGTCATATATATCTATTCCATTACATCTGGAATTACTTAGCAAATCCAAATGTGATTATTTGTTGTCTCTCCTCCCCATTCTTCACTCCTTTCTCCCTACCACTTTTGTGCTAATTTCTGTTCTGCTTTAAGGAACAGAGCACTGGAATGGCACTGGGATATATTACATAGCAAATTTATCGAATTTCTGTCCTCTGCAGCCCCTGCATGAACAACAGGGGGGGAAGCACATCTTAAACAGTATGTAAGGCTGGGCTCCCAGTTTATCCCCACAGCAGAGTTGCTTCAAATTTGATTCTGCTTTTTTGTGGCTTATTACACCAAAGCTCAAGGGACCGTGTGAAATGGGCAGAGAGAAAAAATACACTTGCAGAAGGACACCAGATGCAAACAATGTGAAATGAGGACTTTGAATAGCCCAGAATCCCAGGCGGAAGGTAATTTGGTTTCCTTCCTCTGCTTCCTTCTATGACCTTATCCATCTCAGAATAGAATAATGGTAGCCTGTAAGCTGGCTCAGATCTATTAAACATTTCCGGAAAGGCTTACAGTAGCAGCATCATAATGTGAATATCAATGTAGTAATTTAAAGTGTTGATAGAAGAAAGTGTCTGGCACAAGCCAGGCAGTGTTAAGCCCTTTCAAGTCCTGTTTATTTCAGTGACAGAGTTAAGCACATGTATACCTTTCTCCCAGTGTAACCAGTGCCCTTTAACATCTTAATTCTGGCTGGATTGGGAATGAGACAACTCCAAGTTTAGAGCTCAGGTCATGGAGAAAGGCAGGTTTCCATTCTATCCCATTGTTCCTTGCCCTGGAATTCAGAACTCCCATTCCTGCTACACACAAAACCTGTTTCAGCCTTCTCTGCCACTACCCCTTAACTAGAACTTCCATCCACATGGCCTTTGCTTTGCTCCCTCTGACGGTTATTTACACAATTAAAAATCAGCTGTGATTGGCAAAGTCATAGCTGCCCAGGCCACTGTCTGGATTCTGCCACTGCGTGTCCAGATAGATTTCAGCCTGCAACAGAGACGAACAATATATTCCTGCATATGTAACACAGAGTGGGAAAACCCACCCAATTCTGCAATAGACCAATCAGACAACAGCTTCAAATATGACTAGTTCTAAGGTAACCCCAAAAGCTAAACTAGTTAATGGCATCCATTCACACATTGTTAACCTGAGTGATGGATATGTACACATGTGTGAACCAGCCCATTGTACACCCAGCACAGATTTTCAGTTACATGAACCATCCTTAAAAGTATACCTGACCTGGGTAAACATACGGAGCACCCCCTAGCTGAGACCATTGCTTCTATCATTCTGTATTATCTCCTCTGTTCTTCAAATAGAAATACTGCCAATATTGAGAAAAATTGCCTCCCTAAATGCAAACGACTTACCAGTTCTAAATGTGGATTTCTCACTAGGAAAGCTACAGCCTGTGTAGTTCACAGCCATAATCCACACACTATAGCAGTGGCCAGGTTCCAAGTCTTCCAAAATGCAGTTGCTCTCTTTCACAGTAACACGATATTCTTCTACCAACCCTAAAGCAAGGAAAAAATGAATGCATGGATCCACATGCACAGAATGTCATGATAAATGTGCTTCTCTAATGGAAACCATTTGTATATTATATATCTATATATTATTAGCCACATGTGGCCTCCATCTGCGAACTTCTAAATCAGTGGGAAAAGAGATTTTTCTATGAACTTAGGGGAACCCCTAGGTTTGCAGAAAAATTTTAAATCATTTTAAATATATATACAGGGGGTTATTCCCCCCACCAAATTAAAGTGACACTTACCTCCAATGTTTGCCGATGTGTCAGGGAAGCCTTGCTGGGCCCAGTAGTGGTGGCTGCACAGTTTGAGAGCCCCACTGGCCAAACAGCAGTGGCTGCACAGCCTGGGAACCTTGTGGGGCATGTCACCAGCAGCAGCACACCCCGTGAGTAGCACTGGACCCAGCAGTGGCTGCACAGCCTGGGACCCCACTGGGCCCAGCAGGGGTGGTTGTGCAGCCCAGCAAAGCCCTTGGTCACACTGGGCCAAGCACAAAAGTGGGGGGAGGGAGTATTGCAGGCCCACACTTGAGCAGCTCCCAGACAATGCCGTGGGGATGAGTGGAAGGAAGCCTCAGCAGGCCCACCTGCAGCTCTGGATGAGCTTCCAAGAGTGGGGGGCAGGAGCCTTGGTGAGTCCCGGATCCGCCGGGTGGGCGGGGGGGGGGGGGGGGAGGTGGTGGGCCTGGTGGCTGCAAGAGAGCCTGATGAGAAAGTGGGGGGAGATGGGGTCCCCCCGCAAGAATCTACAGGCCCCCACTTGTGTTCATCTAACGCATGTCCAGGAGTTAACCATAAAGGCTATATATAATCTACCCACTCACACACATAATGCACACACACAGAAGCACTTAGCTGAGTTATGGGGGGGGGGGGCAAGGAGACTGTGTTCTTTGTGCTACACAGACAGATTTTTTTTTTCTGATGTGTTCTGCAAGTTGACAGTAGACAAAATGAAACTGGAATCTTGAGAACACTAGTGTGATTGTAGACATTGCTGGGTACCCACAACCTAACACTAGCATAGGGTTGCCAACCCCCCCCCCCGGTTTGCCAGGGGTCCCCCGTTTTTTTGGGGGGGGTTCTACCCGCCGCCGGCCAGATGACCGGAAGGGGAAGCCCTACCCCCAACACCCACAGCCACCCATCTCTCTCCCTTTAAGTGTGTGGAACCCGTGTTTCCTCCCAAGCCTGATCTCCACAAGCTTGCAGGGAAATGCCAGCTTCGTGCTCTTAAAAGGGAAATGCGGCTGCTCTTAAAGGGGAAACGCCGGCTCCTTTAAGTGCAGGGAACTGCCGTTTCTGGAGATCTGGCGCACGGGCGGTGGGGGGGGGGCGGTGGCGGACGTTCCCAACGTGACGTCATCACGTCGGGATGACCCGCCCCCTCCAGGAACGCCCCCAAAGTCCCCCACTGGGGGTGGAAGATGGACTTGGCAACCCTACACTAGCATTCCCAACACTGCCTCAGCAAACATCAAGAGATTTGTGGGGGGGGGGGGTCTGAGGAGGAAGGAGTTTTGAGGAGGATGTGATGTCACTCTATGGTCTCCAGACTGTCATTGAGGGAGGCCTTTTTTCTCCTCCTCCTTAGTTCCTTGGGGAGGACATTGGGGCTGGGGGAGGGCAAATCCCATCCCTGGGCAAGTAAATGGGGGGCCTATCCAACACACATTTACTGTGCTACTGCCACCTTGCTGAAACTAACTTACACAGTGGCACATTAAAAGAAGGACTGAGTTATGACCTAGCATATAGATAAACAACAATATGGCACCTTTCCCACATGCAACTGTTATTTCCCTAAAATTGCATTCAGACCACCATCTTGCCAAATTTAATTTAATCTTAAATAAGTCATTCACTGTTCCAGTAGTAAACTTTATCCCCCCACCCCCATTATTCTCTTTCTGGAGCTAGTTTTGTCCCCTTAATAAATGCTGAACCTAACAGGACACACATTAGACACGAAGCTTGTCAAAATGAATGGGGCACGAAGCTTGTCAAAATGCAGGAGGTTGCTGTCATAGAATTTACTTTATTAGCTGAATTTCAAAATTAAGCCAACTAAATAGATCAGATCTACCAAAGCCTTTTTAGACCAAATTCACGTGCCCTTTAAAACGCTTTTTCAGCCTCTATCTTGCTGGTGGTGCACATGCATAAGACAAGCAGTTTTAAACACATGCGTGCTAGGTTTCTCAATCCACTGATGGTCACAAAGGAAAGCTGATTAACAGTCACCTTTCATCCTTTCAGTCTTTTACAATACAAACGGTATTTTAGACACACTCAAGTAGCCTGTTTGGTGATATGTGAACATGAAATTTCCTTTGTCCATCACTCAAAGCAGAATTTTCTTCCTGGTAAAACACCCCACAGGAATTGTGAAATGGCCTCCAGGCTGATGACGTTTATTCCTGTATTTCAAAACCTCCCCTTGGAACTGACAGTAACCCTTTCTCTCATTGACTATGGACAAGTTTCCCACTCCCAGACAGTTCTGACAGGCCAGTGTTCGAGCCTCTGGGAAGGTTTAAATAAGACTGGTTCTTTTGTTGTAGATTTGGAGGGAGAGATAGCGTTATCTCTTTCAAGTAGTCTGTTTTTTGTGCAAATTATCTCAGGAAATAGAAACCACACAGGCCAAAGAATGTGGTGTACAATTTTTTGTCACGGGTCACATTTTTAAAAATCTGCCCACCATATTTTTGCATGCTTTTGTAATCAACGAATTCAAGATGTTTCTTATTTCATATTTTCAACTTGGTTTTCTTTTTAGAAACTTTAGATCCACTCAGCCCTGCTCCAACCTTCCCCATTCACATACCACTTTGTTCTTGCCTTCCTGGGTGTTCTTCCATACAATAGACTTGGAAGAAATCAATGGCATCGTCTTCACTCACAATCCAGTAAACGGCAACTGAGGTGCTTGTGGCTGAGTTTGGCTCCTGAGGCTGTAATTTGGGGGTCTGTGGAACTGGAAGAAAACATGTAGGCAGTTATTGTCGAGCAAAACATGCAGACTGCAGCTCTCATGGCCTAAATCTGAAGTGAGGCGAAGAAGAAGAAGAGTTGGATTTATACCCAGGGATCATTTGGGGGGGGGACGTGGGGGGACGCCATCCCCCCGGGTGAGGTGCAGGAGGGCGGGGCCTGGAGCTCCCTGCTGGTGCCCTCTGGAGGTCGCCGCCGGCTGTGGGGAGGACACACTTCCGGTGATGTCAGGGGGTGTGGCATATGCTAATGAGTTATGCTAATGAGTCCCCCTAGCTCTTTTTCTACGAAATGACCCCTGTTTATACCCCTGCCCTTCACTTGGAGTCTCAGAGCACCTTACAATCTCCTTCCATTCCTCTCCCCACAACAGTCACCCTGTGAGGTAGGTGGGGCTGAGAGAGCTCTGAGAGAACTGCTCTTGAGAGTACAGCTCTGAGAGAACTGTGACTGACCCAAGGTCACCCATCATGTGGAAGAGTGGGAAATCAAACCCGGTTCTCCCAGATTATACCCATTCCAGCAATGCATGCAAACACTGGAGCTATTGATTCAAACTAAGCTAACAAACAGTGCCAGCCTAAGCAAAGTTATACCCTTCTAAACCCATTGAAGTCAATGACCTTAGAAGCATGCAAGTTTGCCTAGGATTGCACTGTAAGAGTGAGATGTCTTCAAAAGGAGGATCAAGAACATATCCCTATATGCTAAAAATTTGGTAGAGTAAACAAAATCCCCCCTTCCTTCTCTCCTGTTCATGCCTTTCCTCGCAGATTAGCCATTCTGTGTATTAAGCTCCACACAGAAAATGGTTTTTCTCCCCCTTCTGTTTTTCAGTTATTTTCAGAGGCAGTCATGAATTGCTGTGGCACACAGGGGGGGGGGAGCGGAAATGCTGATGCTAGCAGTTTTCATGTGATTAAGAAAAAGAACTGCCTGTCATTGGAAACATTCATCCTTCCCATCACTGAACACAACTAGATTATTTTGTTATTTACTCAGGCTGGAGACAGACTTTAATTATTTCAGAGCACTGAAGAGAGAATGAAAGAGGCATCATAGATTGTACAGTGCTTGCTGGTCCCACAGTCATTTCTGGTAAACAAATTTTTGTGAAGCTTCAGAAACCTGCAAAATCTGTTCAAAGAGAGGCAATGAGTAGCCCAAAAGAAACAAATGTGTACACATCATAGATAACAATGCCTCTGCCCTATGACTGACTGTCCCCAGCCTTATTTCTTTAATAAGTACTTGTATCCAGTAAAGGGACTCAGTTAGGACTGCCAGTTCCAGGTTGGGAAATTCCTGGAGACTGAGTAGGGTGGGGTTTGGGGAAGGGAGGGACTTCAAAGTGGCATAATGCCATAAAGTCCACCTTCAAAAGTGGCCATTTTCTCCAGATCTCTGTCTCCTGGAGATCAGTTGTAATCCCAGGATGTCTCCAGCCACTCCCTGGAGGCTGGCAACCCTAGGCACGATACCTGAAGCACCTTCACTGCTTGAGAGGCTGAACAGTGGTAAGCTCGCAAGCAATATGACAAGATCCCCTTTATAAAACACTGCTATCCTGACCTGGATAGCCCAGACAAGCCCAATCTTGTCAGATCTCAGAAGCTAAGCAGGGCCAACCCTGGAAAGTACTTGAATGGGAGACCTCCAAAGAATGTAGTGCACATTTTTGAACAAGAATATTAAGAACATAAGAGACGCCAATGTTGGATCAGGGCCAAAGGCCCATCCAGTCCAACACTCTGTGTCACACAGTGGCCAGAAATACCAGGTGCCATCAGGAGGTCCACCAGTGGTGCCAGGACATTAGAAGCCCTCCCACTGTTGACCCCCCCCCCAAGTACCAAGATGACAGAGCATCACTTGCCCCAGAGTCCCTATCTATACCTTGTGGCTAATAGCCACTGATGGACCTCTGCTCCATATGCTTATCTAATTCCCTTTTGAAGCTGCCCATGCTTGTAGCCGCCACCACTTCCTGTGGCAGTGAATTCCATGTGTTAATCACTCTTTGGGTGAAGAGTGAAGAGTGTTTTGACTGAATATGACATTGAACTTCCATAGCTATAACTCCTGATATGTTTTTGGCCCAAAAATGCAGCCATGGGATTAGAGTTGCAGCAATGAGAAAGGGGGTTTAATTTCTCTCTTCCCCCCAAATATACATACCATTTTCCAAACTGAAAATGGCCCCCTTGGGTTACTTTTTGCCTCAGTAAGAAAAAGACAGATAGCCTACTGGAGTTTAAAGTAGTGTGGGTAGAAGTGGGGCATTTTCTACTGGGGAAAAGGTGCAGAGAGAAAGAGCTAACTCTCCTTGTTCTCCATCTCTATAGCCCCAGTCCATGTTTACAGCCAAGCACAAAACTCCAACATCTTGTGAAGCTTGAATGTTAAGCAATCACTACTGATCCCTGTCAATCTCCCAGTCTGAGTCACATATTTCCAAGGCCATTGACTTCAATGGATTTAAAAGGGTGTCAGTCTGTTTAGGACTGCACAGCTAGTGAGAATCAACTAATTCCCTATGGAAATTGCTACTCTTGTATACACTAAAATCACTGCACTTGATACACCCGTCAAAAGAAATCCAGACTACTGTTTCTGTGGGCATATGATTTTCCTACATCCTCCCCCTTCCCAACAGCAGCCTGAAATACTCTCCAGAATCCCGTTCCTGGGAGTGCTCTCTCCTTAGGCAACAGGATTTTGGGGAACCATTTCAGCTGCTGGGAGAGGCAGGAAAATTTTAAACAGTAGTCTGGCTGCAAGCCAAGGTGATTCCAGGATTAACCACTGGATGGAAGGAAGATAGCCCTGTTAAACAAATCTGCCTATCAGGAAGCCCAGATCAGGGTGGAAGTATGTTTGGGAGAACCGACATTCCATTTTTTTTGGGGGGGGGGGAAAGGACCTAAATAGTCTTTAAAGAAGTTGTGGTCTGAATTAACGACTGGCTCTATATAGCCAGATATGTTACAGATCTGATTGACGCACCTTACAGGCAACATGCAAGCAATCAGTTTTTAATACTGTAATTTTTATTTTTCATTTTTTGGTTAACATCACAAATACAAAGCAAAAATGGTAACATTTAGAAATAGCTGCTTGTACGGTTCTGCTTTTGGCACCAAAATCTACTTTTCTCAAGAGTCTTTTTTCCCTGTAAAGGTAAAATTTGTAGTTGGCAGGCTGCTCAAAGGAAGGTGAAGGAGTGGGTGGCTAAAAAGGAGCAGTACGCTCTCAGAATTTATCCTTCTCGTTAAAATGCTTTAAAAGAAATCTAGTAAAGGAAGGGGGGAGAATCTACTGCTGCCTTTTGTCACCACCACAAAGATCGGATTATATTTCCAAAGGTTTAGGAGAATATATTTTAGCAAGGAAAGCTGTGGCTTCTCCCTGCAAAGAACATCAGTGTAGAAAGAGGCCATTTCCCTCCTTTTACCCTCCTTAATGTGGTGACCCATGCCGGGTGGAGTTTCTTCCATGAAGGACCCTCAATCAATGGCACTGCCTCTTCAAGGCTCACAGAGCACAGCAGGTGGTGGGAAAAAATCAACTTCCACCACCGTCTTATGTTTGCACCACAAAGAACTCAGATCCTGGCTTGGAAATTTACAAAATCATGCTATTTGGGGGAGAGGTTGTTTGTCTGTTTTGGTGCTCCAAAGTGAGCACTGCATCATGCCCTCCCATGTTCTCTATCATAAACCACTCCCATTTGACCAGTTAGGGTTTCATCACCCCAGAACAATTTTCCAAAGTTTGGGTGAAGGGGAAGTAGTAAAAATGGCTGCTCTCTCCGCCATACCTCTTCTGCCTGGAAGACTGACTGAGGCCCCGGTCACACGGGCCAGATAACGCAGGGGGGAGGCGTGGCTCTTTGCACCGGTGCAATTAGACCCGCCAGAACGTGATCAGACACAATGGTGGCACACCGCAGTTTCGTCCGTCAGCACATGCGCGTCAAGGAGGGCAGCCGAGGGAAAAACCGTGCCCCGGCGCGATCACATGGAATGATTCCAACGGCAGCCCATGGCAAACCATTTGCTAGTACATTTGTTGAGATACTTTTTAACTGCGCAGCTTTGGCGGCACACCACGGGTTGGCCACGGGTGCGCTACGCTTCCTAGATGTTGCAGTGTGATCGCACCCTGAAAATCCGCCCAACATTCGTGGCTCTCCCGCGGCAAATTCGGTGTGTGAACGGGGCCTGGGATTCACAGAATCTCTTAAGGACAGCCTTAAGGCCGTAGATAGCCTGGGAACAGGATAAGAGGAGGCAGCCATATGAACCCTCCCACCCTTCTTTGGCTGTCTTCAAAGGTCTTGCTCTGTTTGTGACTTCACAGTCTGAAGCGAGGTAGGCAGCAACATATGATTGAGTCCTTTTAAGTGGGAAGCTTGGGTGAAGCTCATTTCATCTTGGCAAGCTTATGGGACTGCCTAAACCTGATGGTGACATTTTGGCTTGGCTGTGCTTTTACTGACAAGACTGATCTCATTTTTGTAATTCTGGACTTTTGGTTGAATTATCTGTTCTGTTGTTCTATGGGCATCTTGAGGATCGAAGTGATCAAAAAGGCAGAACGTAAGCCCCTGACGTGGGAATATCTGATGTACCACACCATAGGAGAAACACACAATTTCTTTTCTTTGTGCATTATTCTGGAAGCACAAGAGTGTGCTTCCTTTTTTGGCACTTCCTCATTACGCCTAAAGACTTTCTCTGTAGTTTACTTAACATAGTGATTAATCCGGACCTGCAGGTGACTTGCCTTTTCAGTATGAACAAGACGTGTTAGTTGCTTCTTCTCATTTACTCCACCATAATCCAAACACTTAGGCACAATCAGGCTTCACTTCAAACTCAGTTGATTACTAATTATATGCACCATCTCCCCACACCAAATTTCCTTTCTCAAGCACATTCCTTTTTTAGGTTTTGATACATTTTTAAGCCTCATGTCCAATGTTCGCATAGACACTTACCAGGCATTTGTTCCAATGTCCAGTTACCACTTCCTGAATTGTCTGCAAAATGTTCAAAATGAGAAAATGCAGCAGGCATTTTTTCTAAAGCCTGAATATGTTCCACAGCCGAAAGTAACCTGTGTGATGAAATATATATATTCATGTAAAGACATTGTAATAATATTCACTAGTTACCAAGGCCAGTGCTGAAAAACCTCTGACCCACAGTTCCCTGAGTCCTACACAATCTGTGTTCTACCAAACCAACCATAGTCCACTAGCCTTGCATGACGGCCCATCCCCCCAAGTGTTCCAACAGAGTCTCTCATTTTACAGCCTGCATCAGACTGAAGAAAGAGGAAAGGCTTCTAATTTTAATATTATTTTATTTTAACCATGTTTATGATGCATTTCCACCCAGCTTAGGGCCCCCAAGGTTGAAAACAATCAAAAATGCTAAAGTCAGGTTTAAAATACCTAAACAGAAAACAATTAAAACAACAATTAAACAAAACCCATAAACACATTAACAGGAAGGAGGGTCAGTGAGGGAACACAAAACAAAACAGAAAGATGGCCACCTGCTAGATCACAACAATGACAGAGTGGGACAGATGAATCCCCGTGAGGAGGGAATTACATAGGCCCCTTCTCCCCTGTGGGGGTGGAGATCCTGTACCCCCCACCTCTTGCTTCCCACCACTGCTCCCAGTGGCAGTATGAGGGGAGAAAGATTAAATTGTCATTAGGCCAACAGTGTGATGTCTCTTCTAGTAAAAGCAAATGAAATCATACCTGTTTACGAATTGTCAGAAACTCTATGGCAAAACCCAGGTGTGACATCAGTCATATGGTTTTACCCAGGGCTTTTTTGGTAGAAAAAGCCCAGCAGGAACTCATTAGCATAATAGACCACACCCAATAGCATAAACTCATTATCATATTAGGCCACACCCCTGACAACACATTTCATTAGCATATTAGGCTGCACCCCCATGTTACCAGAAGTGTGGTCATCCAGCCACACCCACCTTTTGCTTCTTATTCTGTTTACCTTGTTTGTTGTCAAAACCCAGGGCTTTTTCTGTAGCAGGAACTCCTTTGCATGTTAGGCCGCACACCCCTAATGTAGCCAATCCTAATGGGTTTCAGCTGTTGGGTGTGGCCTATTATGCTAATGAGTTTCTGCTGGGCGTGGCCAACTCCGGAGCCAGCCGGAACTCCGTTCCTGTGCGTTCCTGCCCAAAAATAGCCCTGGTTTTACCACAGAATTGACACTGATTCCTAGAGAGGTATGATGTCAGTTCCAAATTTTTCCTGGGACAGAGATTATGCTGTCACTGATGGCTGCCATCCCCATGATCTTCCACTGGTTGCATAGTTGCTACCCAGGTAGACTCAGAGGGCAGGGGAACCTGAAGAGGACCATAGTGGTTGGGTAGGTTCAATTTAGTGGGCTACAAGTTTAGTGGTTTTAATTTAGTGGGCTACAAGTTATGTGAGGCCACTCTTAATGGCTTATCTGGATTTCATATAACCATAAGGTAGGTTTGCCAGCTCCAGACTGGGAAATTTCTGGAGATTTGGGGGTGGAGCTTGGGGACAGCAGAGTTTGGGGATGAGAGGGAACACAGCAGGGATGTGATTCCATAGAGCCTATCCTCTGAAGCTGTAATTTTCTCCAGGGAAGCTGATTTCTGTAGTCTGAAGTTCAGTTGTAATCCCAGGAGAACTACAGCATCCACCTGGAGGTTGGCATCCATACCATAAGGAGATGGTAGCACCTAACCATGAATGTTTTAAAAAGACTACAGGTCAAAGTAGATGTGTCCTGGATGATATATAATTAGGATCTTCCAAGATTATTTTAAATGAAGGGTGAATTCTTGCAGGCCACTTAAAGTGCTTTTCAGCCCTTCTTCACGGTTGGTGAGCACAGGCGGAAACAACAGAAAGGTGGTTTTAATTAAGTACACTTGTACTAGTTTTCTGAATTGATTGATGGCCATGCAGGAAGGTTTATTCACAAGTGCATGTCAAACTGCACCATATTACAAGGTACTGGTGATTTACAGCTTCAAATAAGGGGGAAGTCATTGTTATTAGGCATTGCGATCTTTCCCAATCTTCAAAGTAACCGCACGGGGCTGTTAGTTCATTTTTTCTTTTTAAAGCAGAAGAAGATCCTAATCAGGATCTCCCCTGTCATGTCTAGCTGGTCCCATATGAAATAGGAACAACTGTTAAAATGAAGCAGGACACACTTTTAAAAAATGGCCGCCTGCCAGGTATCAGCCTGGTGCTCCTGCCTCTACCTTTATATGTTCTGCAGCAAAGAGAGAAGAAGGCTAGATGGAAAGCAAATAGGAGACCATGGGGGCAGAGATATGGGAGCAAACATCAGCGATGGTGTGACATCCTCTCTAGGAATTGCTGGAAACTCCATGGTAAAACCACAGAGTTTCCAGTGATTCCTAGAGAAGACTGATGTAACTTCTGGGTTTCCCCCAGAAGTGATGTAATACTGATGCCCCCACCGCGTCCCCCTCCCCAGACTCCTACTGTTTGCCAGGCCATACCTGGGAACCCTAAAGAATACTCAGTAGGGTTGCCAGCCTCCAGGGGGTCACTGTGATGTGAATGACTTAGACATTTAGTTAATCTTTTAAAGGTAAACATCATATCCTGTCCTTATATATAAAGCCATTTTCACATCCAACGTTTGATGCGCATCAACAGTGGTTGGCCGCAAGAACTGCCAGTCAGAAGACACTGGCTGGGCTGACTGGCTGCTTTGCGGAGTCCCACCCATGTCAGCCCCGGCCAGCCTCCTCGGCTCACTCTGCTCTGGTCCTCGGACACGACAGGACTGTCTGCAGGGTAAGTGCGGGGACAGGCCCTCAAGGCAGAGGCAGGTGAGCCGGAGAGCTCTCTGGAGGCCGCGGGGAGACATTTAAATGTCTCCGTTGGGCTTCAGCCTAGCCAGAGAAGCCCCGCAGAGGCTCCCACCAGTCCTGTGCCTTCTTGGGGCCCTGCCAGGCCCACAGTCGTCGGTCCCCTCTTCCCCCCCTCCCACCAGTCCCGCGGCTTCTCTGGGCCTTGCCAGGCCTGAGGTCGCCGCTTCGTTCTCCTCCCCCCGAACTGTCCCCGCGGCTTCTCTGTGCCTTGCCAGGCCCAGAGTTGCCGCTTCGTTCTCCCCCCCTCCTGAACTGTTCCCACGGCTTCTCTGGACCTCGCCAGGCCCAGAGTCGCTGCTTCCTTCTCCCCCCCAGAACTGTCCCCGCAGCTTCCCTGGGCCTCGCCAGGCCCAGAGTCACCGCTTCCTTTTTTTTTTTTTTCTTTCTTTCTTTCTTTCTTTCTTTCTTTCTTTCTTTCTTTCTTTCTTTCTTTCTTTCTTTCTTTCTTTCTTTCTTTCTTTCTTCTTCCACCCACCCTACCTTTCTAGGGCTCGTTGTCTTCGTCCACAACAGGCTTTGCTCTCTAGTTATATTATAAATGAAACTTTGCAATATTACAAGGAAAAGTCCATTATTCTCAATTAGCACCCAGATATAAACTCATTTAATCCCAACTTTCCTCAGGAGTAATCCTATTATGTTAAAAGGTGTCAGCCTCTTGATACAGTTCAGTGTTATGTTAGGAGCAAACCAGTGCTTAACTTCTTCTTTACTGTCTTCAAATTATCCTGGAAAAAACCCATGGTTATTTAAAATGAAAAGCAACATGAAGCTGAATGGAATCCTATTTTAGAACTTACTTCTGGTTCCATTTCAAGTGTTTTTATTAGGAGCAAGCCAGTCTTGTCTTCTCTAACTAGGTGCAAAAGCCTTCTCTATTATACTGGCTGAAATGCTCTCCATGATCTACTAAATGTCTTAGTCCTTCACATCACAGTGTTTGACTGGTGTATTTCCTATGGATAACTGTGATCCCTTCTTGGTTTATTCAATCTCCAGGTTGTGGCTGGAGATCTTCTGGGATTACAACTGATCTCCAGGCAGTAGAGATCAGTTTACTTGAAGAAAATTGCTGCTTTTGAAAGGTGGATTCTATGGCATTATACCCCATTGAAGTCCCCTCCCCCACCCTCCTCTGGCTCCACCCCCAAAATTTCCAGGTGTTTCCCAACCCAGGAAACTCTCGTGGATAGGAAGTATACAATAGTGGACTTGTCTCAATAATAATCTTTGAATATTTTAAAACACAGCAGATAATTTAGCTTAAAGAAAACTGATGGGTTCCAAAGACATAAAGGCAGCTGGTGTTAAAAAGTTAACAACAGTATGTACGTGCACACACACTTATAAAAGGAAGAAGGAGAAAATGAAAGCAAAATAGATTAGAAGTAATTAGCTCTTATTGCAGAGCTCATTACAGAGGGAGAACAAAATATATTTTTAACCCAGAGACAGAAAATATATCAAAGGGTATGAAAAGATTTTCATGCAAAAGAATACTGTATCGTCTTTCATAATACAGATGTCAGTGCACTGACTATTATTTAGAGAGCATGGGGACAATGAGTTCACAAAATGCTTGTTATGTAAAATCCTTTCCAGATCCAGCTTTCAAAATCTGCCCGGGGGGGGGGGGGAGCTGAGTCTCAAACGATCTTATATTCCACATATAGATTTGAGAGGCAAGTGGTATGCATCTGCCCATACCATTCATACTCTGTTTATCCATGTGCTATATATGCAGCTGCTTCCACACTCAGCATACAGAATTACTGCTTTGGTGAGACAATGAGCAACCCTCTGTTCACATGCATTCTTTCTGATTGATCCAAGCTAGACTTTTTCTGGGTGTATGTGTTTGTATTTGATTAGTAGTGTTTTTGGATGTTTAAATTCGTATTACATCATGAGGAAGCGAAAGGTATGGTATAGCCAGATCTCACCAAATCTCAGAAGCTAAGCAGAGTTGTTCTTGGATGGGTGGATACCACCAAGGAAAGCTCTGCAGAGGAATGGCAAATCACCTCTGCTTCTCACTTGACTTGAAAGCCCCTTGCTGGGGTCACCGTATATCACTTACGATTTGATGGCACATATATTACATCATGATTTTATATATCTTTTAGTAATTCTTGTTGTACGTTATCTTGCAGTCCCTTTGGGGGGGGTGCTAAAATGTCTGAATGAATAAATTTAATGGGATCCTCCTATCCACTGGGAAAGGTGGTTCTGTATCAGCAATAGCAATGATCCTACAGAATACAGAAAAAGTTTGGAGACGGATAATAGGTTCTTCAGAGATCACTACCCATGTTGCGTGTACACTCCTTTATAATACAAGAAAAATGAGTGTGCAAACCATGGAAAACAATGCTTTTCTCATACCATACTCAACTGGAGACTATCTCAAGCCAAAAGTCCTTTTCAAAGTAGGGTTGCTAATCCCGCCCCCCAAGCCACTGACAGGGGATGGAGGGTAGGGTTACCCGATCCAGATTGGAAAACTCCTGGATATTGGGGGATGGAGTCCAGGGAGGACAGGGACCTCAGTGGGGTACAGTGCCATAGAGCCCACCCTACAATGCATCTATTTTCTACAGGGGAACTGATATCTGTAGTCTGGAGATGAGCTGTAATGTGGGGAGATACCAGGGTCCCGCCTGGAGTCCGGCATCCCTGTTTGAAAGCCAAAAACAACAACAACACACACACATACACACACACACGGATCCCTGGATCAAGGCTCATTCTTATTTTGGGAGGAGTTCTTCCAAAAGCAACCGCAGATCTTTTGTGCAAGAAAGAAACAAGACAAATTCAAACCTCACCCAGGAGGGGGGGGGGGTATTCAGCACTCACTTACTATGGCCTAAATTTAGCCCAATCCAACAAGCTGCCACTGAAAACCACTTTCATTAAGATTTCATCGAATAGGGAAATTAATTCAGCAAACCATGAACACTCTCAAATATTGGCATTTAACAGAATGTGCTTGGAATTTTAAAATGGTTTTGTACAACCATGACAAACACCTGCATAAAAAGAGCTATGCAGATGCCATGGCAAGAGAGCTGGATTTCAATAATGCCGTAGGTATTAATGTTTTAGTTATGAATGCATGCAAAACATTTCAAACACTTGCAGCTGCAGTACCAAGCACACAATTGATTCCTTAGCACCTATCTAGGCATTTCTAAAAAGAGAAATTTATTTTGGCAGCATGCTTTGTACAGAGTTTCAGAGTATTAAAACGTTCAGACATGCTGATCCTACTATTCACAACAATGCAACAAAACTACATTTCATATACCTTTTGTTTATTTCTTCTGATGACTAAGGGAAGGAAATGGAGGGAAGGAATGGATTAATGCCTGTTATGAAATATATCTGACCTGAAAGTTACAAGATGCCATTAATGGACATTGCATGGCCCAGTATTATATCAACACAAATAGGCTAAGATGCCTGAACGTCACGGGAAGACCATGTCCCTGTGTCTGCAAATGGTGCAAGTTCATGAAAGCAGATCTTTCTTGCCTTCCTCCAGCAGCCATCTACAGCTCACCAAAAGCTGCTGCTGAACACTGGGGTTCAACCAGAGTACTATCCCATTCGGGGGGGGGGGGTTGCAGGAAGAATTGCCCAAAATTCGTCTCCTCCCCCTGGTACAAGCTCTAGCTCTGTGAGGTGGAGGCAATTTGGCTGCTTCCCCTGCATTTCTGAACCCCACCTTCCTAGCACCATGTGGCACATTGTTCACATAACTATGCAAAGATCCTGGGGGTGTGCTATTTGACCTGTTGGGAAAACCCACATATATATTTGTGGGTTTCCCCAACTGGCCAAATGGAATACCCTACCCCACTGCCTGATCATTTTAGGTCAGGAAAATGTGGGGAGGGACAAGGCTGAAACTCTTCTCCACATGCACTGCAGTCGCAATCCAAATGGGACATCGGATGCACAGGAACTGAGGAGAACCTGCAAGCCACCCGTGACTGTTACGCCCAGAGTCAGGGCATAGGGTAGGGGTCCCAGACCCAACCTGATTATCCCACAAACACTTTCCTGGAGCTATGAGTCAAGGGGAAGTGTTGCCTTTCTACAAATGGCACCATTTACAACTGCATTTAGGATCTGATTTCTTTTTTCACATATCTTTTTTTTAAAACTAGATAGTAGTAGTAGATATTTTAAATGTATGCATTAGGGCTGCAAGGTCTAATCTGTAGATTAATCAGTTAAAGCTTTTGGCCCCAATCCCAGAAAACGTTAATTGAGTTTAAATCCCACTGAAATCATGAAAGTTTAAATTGCCATTACTAACTTGGACCAATTTCAATAGGAATAAAGCATTTTTTAAAATCTGGACTGAGGCTTAAGTTTGTTAACTGGTAAGGCCCACTGTTGATCAGTGGGGCTGCAAATTAAAGCCACACAATTCATTGGTGTGACTGTTTTACAGTATTAGAGAATGAAGAACATTCATATAATGATTTCATTGCTTGAAGTACTTCAGATACATTATCACGCTGTAGTGTTGCCAACTGGCCTGGGGAAAGATGTCCTGCCTCTTTAACAGAGGCTAATGAGATGTTATTTATGAGGTGATGTTACTTACCTCCATGTTTTGAAAAACTCCAGTTGCCCATTTCCACACATTAAGCCTGTATTAAAAGTATAGAATATTTTTCTGCAGGCCAATTGGCAACTTTATCAAGCTGTAACCATTAAAATAGCTGTATAAGGAAAGCCAGTATTATTATTAAAGATGGGAAGCATGAGCTAAGGGGAAATTACTTGACTAAGGCCACCGAGTGAGTTTGTGGCTGAAGCAGGATTTAATCATAGTTCATTTTCTTGGCAACTATGCATGGCTATGTATGCAGAGGTCATTTCGGGGGGGAACGCGGGGGAACACAGTTCCCCCGGGTGAGGTGCAGGGGGGCGGGGCACATGATGAAGCCCCGCCCCCTGCTTCCGGCCGCCCTGCTTCCAGCCCTCATTCAGCCAGGAGGAGGCAGGAGAAGAGGGAGGGTAAGTTGCTTCCTCCCAGCCTCTCCCCACCCCTGCCTGCCTGGGGCCAGGGAGGGCCTTGGCGGGGCTTCCTCGCACTCCTGCTGGCCTTGCAGGTCCACTGCCGGGCCCCTGATGTCAGGGGGTGTGGTATATGCTAATGAGTTATGGTAATGAGTTCCCCTAGCTCTTTTTCTTCGAAATGACCCCTGTATGTATGTACCAAATATACCACTGCATACTAAACATACCGAATAGGTATACATATACTTGATAATATGTACGTAGATTTAAATATAATCAATTGAATCAGTTAAATACAGAAAATAATCAATTAAAATTAACTACAATTTTATACACTATATGATGCCTAGATTCAGAAGAATTTCTACAGACGTTAAGAGTATGCTATTCTGCTATGCTTGGTTGTATCCATATTATTAATCTAATTGTCTTAATCTCCTGAGTTCATAATAGCCTTTGTAGTCAGATTAAAGTAGCACACTAGTAGAACCTCTCTCTCCTTTTTTATTTTTAAACTATGGGCCATTGACCACTGTTGACCCCTAGTCTATTTTCAAGGTCAAACAGCTGAGGAAAATGTTGGGCCATTTGAGTTTTTCTAAAAGAAATCTAACATGTACACTTTTCCCTATCAACAATGAAATATTATGAAACATTTTATCAGCGTTAATGTTGTTTTGTACTTACCCTTAGGAAAACAAAATCATCCATTTCTTCAGTTTCCTTTATGATAGTCTCCAAGTTTTCTTTTGCTGTGTCAATATAGTCTTGAAAATTAACCATCTGTTCATAGAGGTCCTCCATCTTTGTGTTCTTTATTTCTTCAAACCTCTGTGCCTTTTGGTCATGGTGTCCTAGCACTGTCTTGACAATGTTTTCATTTTGCTCTTCCAAAAGCTGTTCCTTTCCCTTACAGTTTTCCTAGACATAAATGCAGTATTTTCCCACATGTTGGAAACACAAAATTTATTGGAAAAACTCCTGATCACTAGGCATTTCAGAGCTGCTTTCCTCAGATCTAATTCTTCATCACACGAAAGATGCTATGTACCAGAGTGCATTAGTGTTCTGCCTTGAAAAAATTAGTGTGCCTTGAAAAATTAAGCCACTATGTTGAAAAATTATGGCTCAATTGTCCCTCAATAGCCGCTAAAGTAGGAAGAAGAAGAGATTGGATTTATACCCTGCCCTTCACTACCCAAGGAAGTCTCAGAGCGGCTTACAAACTCCTTTCCCTTCCCCTCCCCACAACAGACACCCTGTGAGATAGGTGGGGCTGAGAGAGCTCTTTCCAGAACTGTCCTTGAGAGAACAGCTCTGACAGAATTATGGCTTCCCCAAGGTCAGCCAGCCAGGTGGAAGTGGAGGAGTGGGGAATCAAACCCGGTTCTCCCAGACTAGAGTTCGCGCACTTAATCACTACACCAAACTGGCTCTCAGAAGGCCATATAGGGTATTGTTTCTTCTCTGTGTGTGTCATTATAGCCGTAGTGATGGCATCTCAAGGCAGGAGGTAAGGATGAAACTTCAATTCCTTGGTGCAACTTGTGCTAAATACAGAAAATAGATAAGGTAGTGGTGTCATTGCACCACCAACGTTGCACAGCAACACTCTAGTTACTTGTAAGTGCAGAATGCCTGAGCTTCAGCCACAAGCTCCATTGACTCTTGGTATCCTGAAATCTGCAACAGGATTGGTCGGTGTCGGGAGACAGACCAATCAGGACAGTGGTTGACATTTGGTGGGAACAATTCCTATTGGTTCCAAGCTCTCATTATTGATTGGATATTATTGTTCTAGGGCGTGTGGTTTTCCTTGGTTCAAATTGTATATAGTTGAGTCCTTCTGTATGTTTGTTGCTGTGTTCTGAGCTGAATAAACAAATCACTTTCGAAAAGAGCTGCCTCAAGTAAGCATTTGAGTGGTTCTCAACGCATTACAATCATCTTAGCCCATGGCAGGTTCTACTACACATTACAGCTGTTATGAACATTGAAAATCTTCCTTGATAATTGTGAGATGTCACCAGAGGATATGACTCTCTGAGAGACATTTTTTGTCCTACATCTTTGTTCAGAAGAAGATCTTCCTTCAAAACGGCAAGACATTCCGGAGATCACCGTCAATATATTTGTCTATGATTATGTATATTATTTTTGTTCACTTTTCTATGATTCTTTAAAGACATATATTAAGCGTCACTTTTTCACAGTTTTTTTCTTGTTCTCCGTATTATCTCATTACTGTGCCAATCAGTTGTTAATATACCATCATTCTGCCATGATGTAAATAGGTTATGAACTGCAGCTAAAACATGGCTTAAGCTTCACAAATGAATACTAGAAGACATTGTGTGGCATCCAAAGATTCTCTTCCACTAAGTGAGAGTCTTCTCCTTCTCCCTTAGGAGAAAGGATCCAACCCTCTTGCAATAATTAATAAAAATTCATAATCACAATATTCAGATTGGAATGATCGTTTCTAAAAGTGAGTGCAGTGCTGACATCAGTATTGTGAAATATAAGTAAAACCTCTGATTTAAATTTTGTGTGTATAAGTTGATTTTCCCCTCAGTACATAGTTCACTAATGCCATCCAGTTTCTTCTTAGACTCCTCAAAAGGTCACTCATGCTGAAATATTTTAATAGTGGGTAAATAGAGAATAGTTAGCTAAAAACTGTCTCATCTTGCGTAGAAAGAGAACGTAAGCTCCTTTCTGTTGAACAATTATTTTTAAAAGTCACGAATGTTTAAACATAAACTTCGGAAAAAACTAAAAGTATTAAATGAGAAGAGAATACAGATATCATACTCACCTCAAGAGTATTGAAAAGGGCCTCAATCTCACTGACAAACCCTTCAATCTTCAAAGACCTTTCTTGTAAAACATCTAGGAATCCATCCAATTGACCCTACAATTTAGAATTGTTAAATATTTTTGAATATTTGAATTAGAAAATGGTTTCTAATTGTTGTATATACCAGCTGTGAAGAAATTGTACAATCTATAATATAAAAGACCCCTCACAAAACAGTCCTATGTCTCTCAGCACTTCCACAACACAAGGCTTAGGCCTGCCTGGATCGTTAGGCTAGACAGGGATCCTGAAGCCCTTGCATTGGGTATCCATGCATTACGTCTGTAACTGACCTTGAAATTCAGTTGAGGAAGCTTTACTCGAACATAAACTGCATGGTAGGAACTGGAGAAAAGTACAGATAATTATTTGGGACCTAAAAGAGGTAGCTAAATGGAGCTGCGGTGGCTCAAGTGGTTAAGATGCTGAACTGCAGGCTGTGGAAGGTCAGTAGTTCAGCAGTTCAAGACCCGGGTGCCGCAAGACGGGGTGAGCTCCTGTCTCTAGTTCCAGCTCCTGCCAACCTAGCAGTTCAAAAGCAAGAAATTGCAAGTAGATAAATAGGTACCACTTCGGTGGGAAGGTAACAGCGTTCTGTGCGCCTTGGTGTTTAGTCATGCCGGCCACATGACCATGGAAACGTCTTCGGACAGCGCTGGCTCTTCGGCTTTGAAACAGAGATGAGCACCGCAACCCTAGAGTCGGATTCGACTGGCTTTCGAGCAAGGGAACTTTTACCTTTACCTTTAAAAGAGGTAGTAAGTAAAGTGGGAAGAACTGTGGGATTTTTCTACAATTTCAAGTTCTATTTTATTTAGCAATGAAAACTTCCATTGTTTGAATCTGACTAATTCGCCAATCATGTATTTGGGTAATAGGTGGAAGTTAATTACAGATTGGAAGGGTAAGAAAGAAAGATGCACTTCTTAAAAAGCCCATCTTGACTCAATAGGAAAGAGAAAATAAATGCTTAAAGATGGAATTTTTCTCTGAACAGTAGCTTTTGTTTATTAAGCACTCAAATTAGCATTTTAATAAGGTGAACATTTCTTTATATGTAATTCAGCAATCAGTTAATTTATTTAAAACTAAGATCAGAATCTCAAAAGGCCAAAGTATATGTGCAGGGCACACAGTGGTAAGAGCACAGGTTCTAGAGTTGCCAGCCACCTGCAGAAAAATTGTGCTCCCCTTTAATAGAGGCTTAATTTGTGGAAAAGGGCAGGTGAATTTTTTTTCATGGCATAGAGGTAAATGACATCACCTGTTACATAAATTCCCATTCAGCCTTTATTAGCAGGGCAAGACAATTTTTTTTCTCCTGGCTGTTGGCAACCCTCCTTTCCATTCAGGCTGCAGATTCTTTTATCACACGCCACTCCAGAGGGCCCACTTACCTTCATCAGTGGTTTTTCAGAGGGGGGTGTAGGGTGCAAAGGGCTTGTAGACAGAAAACCACAGTTCACATGCCAGCCCCTTGCTCCCATGCCCTATCCAACATCCCTTCTAATTTTTTTCACCTACTGAGCAGAGCAGTTCACATCCTGAGCAGAATATAACTGCCGTAATCTTAAAATAGGCAATGGGCAGTGTGGCTCCAGATTGCTGCTGAGCAGGGCTTCCTGTGTTAATGAGTGGCTCTGATGTGCACAGTTTAGAGGGAACACTGGCCCCTTGACTACCACCGTGATATAGTGGTCAGTGTCAGACTAGAATCTGGGAGACCCAGGTTCGAATTCCCACTCTGCCATGGAAGCCTAGTGGGTGACCTTGGGCCATTCACACACACGCGCACACACACACCTAGCCTAACCTGCCTCACAGGGTCGTGAAAAGAAAATGGAGAAGGGGAGAATGTTGTAAGCCACTTTGTGTCCCCACTGGGGAGGAAAGCATGGTAATGAAATTAATTAATTAATAACCTCTTCTGAAGGTAAAGGGACTCTCTGAAATGGCATTCAATGTGTTTAATCACTTTATTAATCTTTAATCTGTGGATAGGCCTTGTTTTTTTCCTGATTTTCCAGACCCCTTTGAAGTGCTCTTCAAAGGTTAGAGAAGGTTGGGCTCTTCAAATAATGGAGGCAACAGTCATGAGTTATGCAGTAGCCCTCCTTGACCTTGTTCTGGAGCACTTGGCCATCTGTTCATAAGCTGTTTGTGTTTCATAAACACCCTTGCCCGTTAATCAGATTTCTATACACCTAAAATGAAGGTTAAAAAACAAGGCTGGAAATTAGCATTGGTGTCATCTATGGATTATAAAAGGCATGCTAAACTGCAACATTAAATTGAGAGTGCACATATACACACAGGGGGAAGAATCATTCTGCATTTCCAAGGTGAACTTGTGTTGCACAGGGAAATGTTAACCACATACACACACATAAATGACAGCCATTAAGCATATTGTACTGCCGGCAATGCCAAAGTGGCCTGGATTCTGTTACCTGGATGTCACCTAAAAGAACTCAACATAAGAATAGCAGAAAACAGTACAGGGGGGAAAAGTCTGCTGACTGAAGGTCAGAGGGAGTACTTCATAGCTAAATTTCATTTTTGGCTCTCTCTGCAAGTCACGGAGCCAAGAGATGATGTCATGGGACATGCTCATCCTTGGAGCAAGTCCTTGGACTTTGGAGAATCCACTCTAGGGATGAAACTGAAGCACATGACTCATATTCTTAGTAACTGATTACCATTCACAGTTGTAGTATTAAGGCTCTAGTCACTGAGAAGGTCTCAAACTCTATTGCAACTCAATGGGAAACCTATATTCAACATCAATGGGAATCCAATTCATATTTTAAAAGTTACTCATGGAAATAATACACAATAGCATAATGACTGTGAGCTAGGATGTCCCCAGGTCAGTCTTCAACCTGTTTAGATACCATGCAATATTTCCTCAGCCTCCACTTCCTGCATCTCTACTACACCACACCACACCACACCACACCACACCACACTACACTACACTACACTACACTACACTACACTACACTACTACACTATTACTTTGCCCTGCCTTGCCTTGCTGGATTGTAAGGATTTGTCACCTAATGGAGATGAAATGCTTTATGGGCTCAGAAATCACTGTCTAAATACAAAGTCAATTTTGTAAATATTTAGTTTGTAAATATTTTCAAGGGCTATGTGAAGAAATGCCTTTTTTCTGGGAGGTTTCAGCTGAGCCAAAACCTCTGCTGTGCATTTTAAGTTTTTCCCTCTTTCTCTCTGGGCAGAGAACAGGCAGTCCGGTTGCTTCTAGCTCACCTTCATTCACAAGCTAATAGATCTAGCCGGAGAGATAAGGGGTGGGGTAAGGTCTCCCCCCCTTCTCCAAGCAGGGAACATAGATTTGGAGGACCTTAGCCTAGCAAGGCTCCAAGTATAATCTCCAGGAAACACCTCTTTGACCTGGCCTGGCCAGGTCAGTGGGAGGAGAAACAGATATGATAAAACTCAGGGGAGCAATGAGAAAGCTCTCTCTTTTCCTGGGATGCTGCATCCTCTCCTCTCACAAGGCATCCACTGACCAAGTGCTCACCTCAAGAGCTGGAGCAAGTTTCAAGGCAATGGAAACTTTGTAGGGATTTGTAACTACATAAACTAAAGGGGCCTGTACTATTTTAACTTCTGATAGGACATGTATAGAGAAAAGGGACAGAGGATTTGTGTTTTCCCCATTTCTTTTGGTATCCCTTGTTCAATTTGTGATACTAAAAAGTATGCTTGTAAACATTTTCTTTTTAATAAATACTTTATAACTTTGTATGCTAGCTGTGGTTCTCTGTACCACATAGACCTCCACCATCTTGGACATGCTATTTTAGCACTGGGGAGAAGACAAGTGACTATTGGCAAGTGACTATTCCTCCAGGGGCGTGCAAAGCAGTAAACTTTCCCCATGGTAACCAGATGCTGGCCAGCAGGAGACACAGAGGCAAGGCCTCAGAACATGGAAGGGAAGGTGGGAATCCTGACCCTCCCAGTGGGTAATTCTGGATAAAGGTCAGGTGGTGGCGGCGGGCTACTGAAGAGAAAGTGTTGGGGAAACTTTGGAGGGCAGGGCAGAATAGGGCCTGCCACAGTCTCATTACTCTGACTTATTTTTGTACTACCAGATAAATCTCTCACATTAACATTTAAAAAGTAATAGTCTGGGCTCAAGGAACTACTTTAAATGTGTAAAAGGGCTAGGGCTGGCTGTTTGGTGTGTTTGCCCCTCATTTTTGGATTGAAATGCAGATCTCTTGAATGCCACAGTTTAATCTATTTGGGAAAGATCCCACAATTTCAAATGCAATTGGCCACAGGGAATGGGGGAAGCTGTTCAAGAAATTCAAGCCAGAAGCCGCTTCAGTACATAAAACTAGTCGTATGGTTATTTGCATTCTGGTTAACAGTATTAAAAATAGAGACCCAGGACCTGCTTTTCATAAGGAGCATTAATTTGGAGCAGAATTAACTTATGAAACTCATTACCACAAGACTTAATGAGGGCCACTATCTGGCCCATTCAACAATTCCTTTTGGTACAGTTCTCATTATTATTCTATTCATGTGAGAACTTTCTCCATCATCAGTACAACCCTTTGGAATTTATCTGTTTCACTGTCTATTGATGGTTAGATTTTTTTTTTTGTTCGCTTGCTGTGCAAACTTGGTTTTGTTTTTATTGTAACCATTCCAAGATTGGGAAATTGGAGTAGATTTTTTAAAAATAATTGACAAAAGGGATCTAGACGGATTTGTAGAGAATAGCTCTATTATGGCTATTATCTATAACGGCTAAATGAAGCCTCCATGTTCAGAGGCACTGCACCTCTGAACATCATTTGATGATGCAGCAGCAGCAGGAAGAGACCATGACATTTATCGTTTGCTTTGTAAGCTTCCTGGAGGTATCTGATTGGCCCCTGTGAGAAATAGGTTGCTGGACTAGACAGACCTCTGGTTTGATCCAGCAAATTTTCTTATGGAGAATTCATATTCAGTATGGACAACCACAGAATCATAGTTCTGCTTCAAAGTTCATATCTACGGAAAATAATGTACAGTGCAGTCCTAAGCGGTGTTAGATATTTCTAATACAAAAATTCACTGCATTGACATTTTATTATGGTTTATTTTGTAAGCCGCCTCAGGCAGGTTCCCTGGAGAGGCAGCATAATTGCTTTCAAAAATCATATAAACCATGTGCAAGCTTTTAAAGCAGAATTAATAGTGCATGTACCAAGATATATTTAAGCATGCTTTATTAAATGGAGTGATACTTACAGCCATCTCTCTCATCACAGGTGTTAACTATGGGACTCCCCGTTAGCTTTTGTACTTTTTAAAATCAGATTTGAATTTTACATCATTACATTTCAACCTGTACTTTCTGCATTTCATGGCCCCTTGATCCCACAAAAAAGTGCATACTGAAGATTCACACAGAGCACCTGAACAAGTGGGCTCTGTTTTGCAAAACTTTGTGCTGGAGTCACTTTTTAAAAGTCTTTAAGGTGCCACAAGACTTCTGTTTATTTTTGCTGCAACTGACTTACATGGTTAGTACTATAGTCACGTATGACTATTAAAACGGTGCTTACAGTCCTGCCAAAAGAGCTACTGCAAACATCATAGCATCATACTCAACATCAAGTTCAACAGGTCTTTAAGCCTAACCTTAGGATTGTTGTTGTCAGGATAAAATGAAGGGAGGGCACACAATGTTGTAAGCTACTTTATGCCCCAACTGGACCTAAATTTCATGACAAGTGAAACTTATATTAAGCCCCTAACATTTATTTGTTCTTTCCTTGACCTTGCATATATTCCACTGAAACATCCTCAACTGAGTATCAATGCCATATGAGAACATAAGGATGGAAAATCCAGTGAGAATGTTGGAGATAAATTTAACGGTGTCAGCCACTTACCTTTAACTCAGTCACACCTGTGTCCAGGTTTGTCACGCTGTGGTCTCTATGCTCTCCCCAAAGCTTGTCATCCGCAGATATGGGACACTTGCACTGGCAGCAGTAGGTATCTAATTGTGCCAGCTCTGCTTCTCTCTGTAGAACCTCACTTTCTGGAACATTCTTTGGTAGCTTTTCAAGACCCATCAACTCCTCTTCTTCGGGATATGTACTAGCTTCTTTTTCATTTATAAATTCATAGCTATCACTAATGTGGTCTAAAGATTTCCTGTTGTCAAACAGCAGCTCTTCACGAGCGACCTCTGAGGCTGTTTCTTCTTGAAAAACATCATCTTGTGTCACCGTTTCATATCCCAGGAGCTCAGCCAGATCTTCATCATCACTGTATTCTTCCTCTTTTATTGAGTATAATGGGTAGGATTCAAAATCATGTGACAAAAGAGAGACGTCAAGTCCCCCAAATGCTGATTTTGCTTCAGATGCTGAAAGCTGATGTTTTGTATCTTCTCTATTGTGCATAGCTAGATCACTGGGAATATTTTCTCCAACTCTTTTTTCATATGTTTGCCCCTCAAAGTCCCAAGATGGAAGATGTTCACGATCTGAAGCATATGCGCCTTGCGCCACAGGTTCAGGGACTGACACTAAGTGTTCTTCTACTTGTCTCTCACTTTGCCAGTGAGTGCTAACATGATGGAATGTTTCAGGAAACTGAGCGCCTTCTTCCACAGGTTTTCTTACTGCATCATTATGTACTTCATCAACTTCTGTTATTTCAAATTGTTGCGCTTGGTCAGTTGCAAGACCAATAACATCCTTTGATTCATTTTGCCTAGATGATTCCTCTTGATAAACAGTTGCTGCATAATCCAGTATTGGACTAGACTCCTCATCGCTTGTTTCCTCTGGCAGCATCTGGCTTGCTTCTGAAGAAGAGGATTCTTCTCTGTTCTGACTGCTGTCATCACTGGTGGCACCTGAGCGATAGAGCCTGCTTCCAAAGGGTAGGGCATGTGTTGGCTGACAACTCACAACTTTTACATCACTTGCGATCTCTACTGGCCTGTCTATCGGGGCATCATTAACCATTTTTCTTGGTGACAAGGCCCCTGCTTGGGCCATTGCTTCAGAGGGAATATAAACAGACTCACATTCCTTTTCATTTGATTCATATGCACCTTGCAAGACACTTAGTTCTTCTTTAACTTGCTGGTCCTTCAGAACTTGTTCCCTTTGGGAATCTTCCAAGTTATTTGGACTACCATCTTTAGGAATGCCCCTGTCAAAGTAAGTTGTAATTTCATCATCTGGGGCACCCTGTTTTCCCTGCAAAGGCACATCAGTATTCTTAATGTTTTCATCAGAAGGATGTTTACAGCTGTCTTCCTTGGATTCTGTCTCTGCTTTTTCATACAGATCCCTATTCCAAGATACCAAAGCATGCTGCCCTGCTATCAGCTCAAGGTTAACTGACTTGTCTGGCAAGGGAATTAATGGAATTTGGGGTAACATGCCATTTTCTGTGTTATATAAAGGTGCACCTACTAAGTTTAGCTCCTCCTCTATCTTTTTGTCACTTTCCCTAACAGAATCAACTAGTTTGTCTTCATTTGATACCGTTGAGATATCTTTGTGGGTAGTTGTTGTACTTTCATTCCTTACCATTCCATTAAAAGTTTCATCCAGTTTGATTTCTAGTAAGGAAAACTCCAAAACATTTTCCAGGCTTGCAGCTGGAGATGCGGTTTCCTCAGCATTTTCCTTTATAACATCCAGTGACCTCTGCACGCCCTGAGCAGATTCCTCTTTTCCTGTATGTGTGAAGGAGCTGTCGTCAGTCAAGGTATGCTTTTCCAAATAATCCAAACTAGTGACATTTAAAATACCATCATTTTTGCTTTCTGGAACAGTTAAAATTTCCTTTTCACTATTTATACTACTCTGAACATCTGTTTCTCTAACAAGTTCTTTTAATTCATTTTCTTTATTTTCAAAGTTGGCTTTTTTAAAGTTGTCTGAAGTTTTTGTATCTGGTTTACCCATTGAAGCTTTCAGGTCAACAACTAAATCTTCAATAAGATGAGATGGTTGGGTTTTCTGGGAGGAAACTGGTTCCAAGTATTTTAATTTCTCTGGCATGCACGTATCTTCTTCTTTATCAACTGACAAAACAAATGCGGGGACATGAACATTTCCCATCTTGTGATCTTCAGACTTACTGGATGCATCTTTCCCTTGATCAAGTTCAGGAGCAGCTGTGGCTTTTTCCCTTGGTTTTTCATCATCTTTTAATTTGTTCTCTTTTTGTAAGTTGTTTTCAGGTTGTTTCCAAGTTATGTCTGCATAAGGTAAATCCTTTATGTCTTGTATTTCTAAAACATTTTCAGTGCTAATTACAATAGTCTTATTGGTAGTTTTATCAGAGTCTGCTGACCATGGTTGGGTATCATTCATAGGTTCTGATAATACAGTATCAGAAGATTCATTCAAAATTAAATTAGGTATTGTGGGAATATTACAGATCTCTTCTCTGTCAGCAGCCTCTGCTCGAAGTTCATGAGAAAGCTGTTCTGTTTCAAAATGTGTCGGAGAAGGCTGGATTTCCCTCTTAATGGCTACTTCAGTCTCAGGAGGCAAGGCTGAACCATTTCTGGATCCTTCTACCAACAAACTGGGTTCTTTGAAAGGAAGTTGAGTGTCTAGCTTCTCTTTTTCTTCAGCCTTAGGAAATGAAGTTTGCATTTCTTTTGCCTCAGAAAGGAGAAATGCAGCAATGGAAAATGGCTCTTCTGACACCACTGTCTCATGAAGGCAAGGCTGGACTTCTGCTTTTTCAGTAAAATCCATCAAAGCAGAGTTTGATTGTCCCAACACTGCTGACACTGAGGCTTCTGGTGAATGGGGACAACCCACCTGCTTCTCCACTATGTCAGTGTGAAGAGATGAAGCAGGCTGTTTATATTCTAACTTTTCAGCTTCAGACTGTGGTGGTTGGATTTCTTTTTGCTCTGCATCCATAGATTCTGATGATGTAGAAACGACAAAATCTACTTCTGCAGTTTCAGGCAAGTTGCCCCTAAGCTCCACCGTTTCCTTCTCTCCAGCAGGCTGGGATAAATCTTGAACAGCTGCAGATGAATAAGACTGCATTGCTTCCATCTCCAGTTCTTTTATTGGCTGCAGTAAATCTACGTGTTGTGGCTCCTGTTGCAAGACTGGTAACTGTAGAGACTTTGAATGTTCAGTCTCCAAAGGTGTTCTCTCTTGGTTATCTCTTTCCTCTGTGGGATACAATAATCCCTCATGTGCAGGCACTGATTGAACAATGGAAGGTAAATATTGTGTCATCTCCTGCTTGCTGATCCCTTCCATAGTATTCATTAATGTCCTATTTTCTGGTTCGGACTGTGCTGTTACAGGGCAATATAGCTCAATATCCTCATTCCTTCTCTCAGATGGTGCAGTGGCGAGCAAGTGAGACTGAACATCTAGTACGTCCCTTTTTTCAGCAGTCAGTTGTTTTGACTCTTCAGTCAACAGTGAACGAGACCATGCCTGTTCCTCTCCTGCATCAACAACAAATGGCAAAATAGTTTCTTTAGAAAGGTACTCTTCAGAAACATGTGAAAAAGAAGGAGCTGTTTCTTTTACTGCTCCAGAAGCTTCATCTTCTGCAATGGACTTTGATTCTTCGGGCACAATTTTTATAGCCCCGGATGAACGAATGGTCTCTTCCTTAATTTCACCCATGAGGAAGGCTGTAAGGGACAGCAGCTCCTCTGGCACTGATTCTCGTTTGTTGGGGGAAAGGCATTGATTTTCTTCTTTCTGTGGTTTGTCCTTATAATCTGGCACAAGAAAATTTGATTGTTCTGGACCTGGCATGGAAGTTTCTAGAGACTCTGTGTCACCTAGAGAGAACAATGAAACCATTGGAGATTGTTTGGATGCCTCATTAGATGAACAGCTTTTAATTCCTTGTGGTTCTGGAGGAGCAGAAGATGTCGGGGTTGTGGGTGAATAATGTTCAGTTTCTTTTGCCTCTGCTTCGGATAAAATTCGATGGGCATGGTCTGACCGTGGAGTTACAGATCTGTCTCTTTCCTCAGCACTCGGCACTGGGAAAGACACATCATAAGGCTTTCTTGATTCAGATGTGGATGGCAATACCTGTACATAGTCTGGCTCCAAGTCCATAATTGCAGACTGAATAGGTTGCTTTGCCACCTGTTCTGATTCAGGTGCTGCAATGTCATGTGTAATTACTTCAACTGCAGAATTTTGTGTGTTTAATAATCCAGTATCCGGGACTGCTAGTCCTCTTGAATTGTCAGTATTATCTTGAGGTTCTGTTGAACAAACTGACTCAGATAAATCTTTTGCAGATGCAGGCAAATGAAGCTGGATTTTATTTATCGCCGTTTCTTCCACTGATTGTGATACATTTGACTCCTCATTTTGTAGACTTGTAGATGATAGTACTTTAGGAGTTTGTTGCATCTCCGTCTGTACTCTCTCTTGCTTTTCTGTCACATGCACAGGACCCAGTGAATCTGGATGTGAAAGTTCAGTGATGGATTGGTTCATAAGTTTGTTATCTGCTTCATTCGCAGAACTCAATGCAACTGTTGCTTCCATCTCCAACTGGGATTGTACGGAGTCGTGTTTATTCAGCTCTTCTGTTTCAGGTGCAACCAAATGTTTCATCTCGAGCTGTGTCGCTGCAAATAAATGGTGGTCTCCTTCCTGGCTATTGTCTCCAGTGTGATACAATGCATCCTGAACTTCAGTGTGATACAATGCATCCTGAACTTCAGAATACAGATTTCCTTTTATAGATGGAGGGGCACTTTTTCCTAACTCTGCTTCTTCTTCTAGCCGAACAGATGCTTCGGGAGGAGGTTCAGCA